TACCTGTGCTCTGAGACCTGCAGGGCAGCTGTGCTCACTGGCTGCATCTCCCTGGCCAGACTGCATCCAGACAGCTGGCTACCAAAGGGGCTGGAAGAGCCTCTGCCCTCCTCTTATATGAATAAGCACACAGGAGTAGCATTCACAGCAAGGGAATAATTTCTGCAGTTATTCAGCGCCCTCCCACACATAAAATTTCAGATTTTTAGGGAAACATTTCATCCTCCATACTGGAGACACTGTCCATTTTTGGCTGTTCTCACATAATTCCTAACAGTGCAATGAAGCATTGACCAATTTCTTGGCTTACAAGTCAGGAAAGATGAGGAACACACAGATACAGGGCATGCACGCTCTGTGGGTGCCTCCAGGCACCATTTCATGCTATTAACTTCAACACACTCAGAGAGGTGCAACAGAGGGGCACAGGTCATCATGAATCCCAATGCTAAAACTTTCTACAAGTTTCTTCTGAAATGCCCATAAGACTTTCTTGAAAAAATAATTGGAATAACTCAAAATAGACTCAAACATCAGGAAGAAAAATAAGGCTGCCTTTGACGGCAGCAGTTTCCATCCATCATATGAGGTAAAATAATGTCACCACCGATGTTTTTCGAACAGTAATATACCCCAAATGTAGAATCGTGGGACAAACAGCTTAACGACCTCTCTAAAAAAGTAAAATCAGCATATAAGATATGTTAAAATTATTTCACTAATTACGTCACAGCTATACATACAACAGACTAGACAGCTCTACTGAGGAATAACAAGTTGTATTTCAATGTTAGAAAAGACAGAATCATAGAGGACACAAAAAAAAAAGAAAAAGAATCACGATTCATTTGATCAATACAACATGTATAAAGCTGAAAGCCTCACCAACAGCAGTAACAGGATGGATGTCATTTCATGACTGCAAGCACTACCTTCTTGAAAACACATTTCCTTGCTGTGACCAAATCCTACCACTCCTCCTTCCCCTGACTTCTCATTCTCTGCTCAGCTTTATGGGAATGTTGAAGACAAAAGGGAGGTTTAATCTCTACTGTGCGTTGGGCTGGGATTTCTTATGCCTCCTGCCCATTATTATTCAAACACAGATTGAGTTTATAAAGATCTATCATTCCTAGGTTCCCTACTGCCTACAAAAGACAGACAGTGACAAACCCAATCTATTTCTGACATCCCATCTCTCCTGTAAAATAAATTCCTTCCCTATGGTGAGGCAGGACTGAACACTAGCAGGTACTTCTGCTTAACATATGATGAAGGTCCTCATTTTTCTTCCAAACTCATCAATAACATATCACTTAAGCAAGCTTGTCCAATAATACTTGGACAACAAATACTCATCCAATATTTTTTATGAAGAATTCTCAGGTTTTCAGCTTTTGATCTATTTATTCTATGAAGTGGCAGAGAGTTTGGTTTAGTTGTCAATTCCTAGCTATAAATTAAAATGGCCTGAGAAAACACCCAGTGAAGGCACAGTTTTTAAGCCTTAAAATTGGGAAAGAAAACAAGAAAATGAGCTCATGCTATTTAGCACAGAAAAATGCAACTAGTCCAAAGACAATTAAATGTGATTTGCTACCTCTTACTGAAGGAAAATGTGTTTCAAAAAAGGAAAATTCCCTTTTGAATGGTCAATGAAATGTATTACATTGTAGCTGACCTAACAACAGTAACTTCAAAACAGGCAGAACATACATAACATATATCAGGTAGTTTCTCAGAGGTTAAGGTTTTATGTTTTAATACTGTACAAAAGATTGCCACAGCTTTGGGTGTTTGATAATAACCATTCCTTTCAAAATTATTGCACAGCAAATGTTATTGTGGTTCTTATTTCTGAAGTACTCCCCCTTTTTCTCATTGTATATAGAACGAAATCTCTTTTTCTATTTGCTTGAGGTATAAATTAACCACTTCTGCAAGAGAAATACTCCTTCCTCATACTCAAAGCATTAAAAAAAAGATACTGAATTAACTTTCACTTTACTTAGACAAAAGATTGCCATCTTCCAGAAAAATAGACTACAGTTGCACGGTGTAAACAGCACAAATTATACTTCAAAAAGTTTTGTATGCAGAAGCATAGTAGAAGATCTTTTCAATAGGTGTGCTTCTGAGGATCCACATAAGCAGGGTTGTAAGGGGGCTGGCTGATTGGGTAAGGTGCTCCAGCACCAGCTGCAAAAGCAAAACACAAGAAAAAAAACAGATTTGTAAAATTTACATTCTGAATTCTACATCTATAATGGTAATTTCTGTTTTGAGCACACAGTTAAGAGGTTCAACTTATCTAGCATCTTAACTGGACTTCAGAACAGTTTGTGCTAACTCATAAAGCATCCACATTTCAGAAGTAAGATCACAAAAACCTTTGTCCTTGTGGTTTCAGGGGTTTTTTAATGCTTGAATGTACATGTGTATTATGGCAACCACAAGCACAAGGGAAGCACATAGTCTATAAAAGGAGCAGATCTGGTCCAAAAAAACAGCCAGTGGAAGTCAGAGATGCACAAACAACCAGATATACCTGATAGGATGCCGAGACGTGAAAATAAACCACTGGGCAAAAGAAAAAGGACTAGAGAAAGCATCTTAGGATTCCTTCACAGAAAATGTTTCCTGGTAAGTGTCACGGAGTTAATTAAAACATTAAAAGGGAAAAAAGTATCCCACCACTACCCAAGCACATAAAAGAATTTGACTTGTTTACTAGATGTATCTCACTCAGAAGATATTCTTATTTTCTAGTATTCTGAGACAAGATGCTCTCAAGCAGCATCTTCATTTTCCAGTCTGTCAAATAGCACAAGTTCATTCAAATAACACAGCACCTGACCAGATCCCTGGAACGTGTCAGTGTGGTTATCTTTTGCTGATCTTGTAAAGTGAGTGGGTTTGGCTCCCGTGTGACAGAGCAAGTATTCTCTCCCTTGCATGTGACCTAATTAAGAGACTGCCCCTTGGTTAATAGGCAAGAGAAATAAAGGAAAGAGCCCTCACTTTGAGGCATTCTCAGCTGGCAACATGGAGAGTGCTTCATGTTTTTCCCAGGAAAAAAAAAAATTTTAAGAACTAACAAACCAGTAACAGTTTGAGAAACCAGAGCGTAGGAGAAACAAAATGACTATTTTATTGGCTCCCTCATATGATAAAGGTGAAGCCAAAGCACTTAGGGGTAATTCCATAAAACCCACAGCTGCTTCAGAGTTGATAACAGAAAAATGAAGTCAACAGGCCATGTTTTTACATGCAGGGCTGGTTTGCACATTGTTAATGTACAATTTCTAAGTGGTTTACAAATGCTTAAGACCACGGACAGACATTTTATACTTGAGTTGTCACGAAAGAGTTACTTTCTAAGGGCATTATCTACTATTCAGGACTATTCTTTGCTTGTAACTCAGAAGGATAAAGAGGGCTTGTAGATCCTTGGGTTTGTAAGGGGGCTTGAAGATCCTTGGCCAGGTAACAGCCTAGTGGTGGCCTCTCTGAACAGCCAGGGGCCAATCGGTCAGAGAACAGCTAGTACCAGCAGCAGTGGGAATTAGTAATAGCAACAATAAAGCTGCATGAAAACAATGCTGTGAAAGAAGGAAAGCAGAAGAAAAAAAGATTCCCATAATTCTAACTGCAGACTTGTCTGAAGTTGATCAGAGACTTGTTATTCTACAAACATAGCGACCAACTACTAGAAAATGCCATCTCTGTATAGATTAAAACATCTAGCAAATATTAGACTAGAAAGGCTATGTAGAAACGCCCAACTACTATACATATGTAACTGGACTTTGATTTGAATATGAAATTTCAACTGAATTAGTAAAACATTCTACTGGATCCACTGATAGTCCCACATACCACCAAACTTTGACAATACAGCTCCAGCTACATCTCCTCTTGCAATGCTTAACATAGAAATGTGATGGGGAAACCTCAGCAAGGGTGAATTAGAGCATCCACCATCACTTGAGTTGTATACAATTTGTTTACATTTATATTAATATAGTCATAGAAAACAATAAATGTAAATAATACAAGATTGGCTCCAATGCAACTGTCTCTTTAGCTATTTAAGAGATGAAGAAACACTCAGCATTGCCTTACCTTCCACCGTTTCATGATAAGCTGGGGGTCCTGATGGCTGCATGGGGTAAGGGGGAGGATACTGTGCAGGGTATGGTGCTACTGGCATTCCCGGTTGTGGCTGGATAGCCACAGGCTGATATCCTTGATATGGGGCTGCTGGGTAGTTGGGTGGCACTCCCTGTTGTTGGGGATAGGGAGCGTGAACCACTGTAGTGGAAGTAGTGGTGGTCACAACAGCTACAAACAAGCAAAAGGAATACGGTTAGTGCTGGTGGTTCTAGGAGATCACCTGGCACAGCCAACAACAGTAATGTAAAAAAAATCCTCTCTTTAATAACAGTTTCTCACTTCAGAACCTGGGTAATTTAATTTTCAAAGTTCCATGAAAGATTTAGAAGAGTATGCCTCTAAATATCCTTCTGTTGATCTCAGTGGTAACAAGGGCCTTCACATACTGGGATAGCAGCCAACTTATCTCCTTATTTCTCAACCACAAAGAGCAAAGAATCTTTTTCTTGAACTCTTCAAAAACCAGGAACTCAACCCTGCAGCCAAGTTACCTATCATTTGGTATGAGACTGGAAAAACTGCTCGTTTTTAAATGTTATCTGCTTTTAAGGATTAAGGTGATAAAGATCTCCCTTATTAGGTAAGGAGCTTCATACTGTGATTGCCCAAATGAGTTCCCTTTTGTATATTGCATCTAGAGACTAATACATCCCTGTGTTAGTAAATATTTCTTTACCTAATGGTCAGAAAGGCAAATACACATTAAGTCATTGATTTTTGTAGGAGCTGATGTCAGATCATTGGTTCGTATCTCTTATTGGAATAAGGGAGTATTAACACTTTCTAATAAATAGCAGTAATTTGTTTTCAAGATCTCCTTCTTCTTTATGCTACAATTATAGACTTAGTTCCAGATTGCACTGTTGCAGTCCTGGACCTTTCATGTATTTTTCGGGTATATTTTTAAGAGACTGGGAAAAAAAAATAAATCAAAATTTAATTTTATCCCCTACTTACATAAACAAACAAAAAAAACCCAAACACAACACACCACCCCAGAAGATCCCAAAATCCACACATTGGGGTGGTGGGGAAAGAGAACCGCTAAATGCTTAGAAAATATTCCAAAAAATCTCTCTGCAACCTCACATTCTGAAACAGCTTAAATGCTCATTTTCAATGTTTAGGCATTGCAACTTTTGTACCAGAGAGGTAAGGCAAGATTATTTACACCTTTTATAGGAACATGTTTTCCAGCGGGAGGGGAGGGAGGAAGGGAAGGTCATGTTCAAAGATGTGAAAAAGAAAATAAATATACAGGTACTTACGCCGTGGTCTTCGACATGCTTTATACAAACAGCAACACGAACAGGTGAGGCACAGAATAATAGTAATTACAATCACCGCACAAAGAGTGACTCCAATCGCAACAAGGGTTCCAAAACTGTAAGAAAGATACCACCAGAAGTAGTAAGTCTTTCATGCAAATTTATTACTCCTTAACCTAACCTTCTGTAGCAAACACATTGCTCCTCCTCCAATCTGTTACTCTTACTACTTCATGCATTTGAATAAGAAACAACTGTCAAATGCAGTGCTATGTGAGGTCAGGTCTGCTAAATCAGCTGGAAGCTGACCAGCCCCTGTCAAGGGGCATTCTCCCCCATACATGGAAAGGACCCAGCATCAGCCTTTGGTCCCTCTCATTTTAGTGTAACTGCAATTCTTGTTATTTTAGTGCAACTGTGCGTCCCTTTATTCCAAAAGGGTATGGTGATAAGGTTTCAAAATCACTGGTTGGATGACTTAATTTTCCAAGCATTACTGGACTGAGCTGAACATGCAGGTAGGCATGCCCGAAATGAAGCACCCCAGGCTTCGGGATGACAGCAGGGTCTTTGCACATTCATAAGACCTCCCAAGCCCAATCTCTAGACAATCTTGGTACTGAGCAGATCTCTTCTCGGTGCAGATTCTTGGCAGGTTCCGTGGCATTTGTAAACGGGGGTGGTTTTTTGTTTGTTTGTTTTTTAGAAGCCACGTTTCTCATGGTTTTGAAGACCTGAAATTCTGCCAACTTATGGCAACAGCAAGTATGTTGTGCTACATGATGGGAGACAGAAACACTGCCTAAACCACCAAAACCTAGTACAGAAAGGCCAAAGATCACTCCAGCTCTAACCACTGTGATGAGTACCAAATGATGGAGGTAGACGTAAAGCTTCCAGAGATGACTGTTTGTACGTTCTGTTTACCACACAGGGAAGGAAAAGTAACACTGTGAAGCATTAAATGCCCAGTGACAAGTCCCTTTTAAGTGTTAATTCACATAATCTGTTTCCTGCTGTCTGAAATCAACAAAACCCTTCTTCCACAGAAGCCAAAGTCTCCAGCATTTCTACTTCTTAAAAAATGCACCATGCATCAGTTTTGGGAACAATTACAGGAAGTCAGTTTTAATGAAGGAAGTCAGTTTTAATGAACAACAAGCTCTAAAATAACGAGTAGAGAGCTGGTTTTATATCCATCCTGGTTTTGCTTCTTCACAGAGATTTTGGCTACAGAACTCTCTAGGGGTTTTTTGCTGCTCAGTTTACTGTTAACAGCTTTAAACAAAGTGACACATCTCCTGAACCTCTAGCAATTTTCTCTTGGCTACCCAACAGCCATCAAATGTGAAAATTGTTTTTGAGTATCAATGACAATGGAAGGTTAAATCACTGGCAAAAAAAAAAAAAAAAAAAAAAAAAGAAAGAAAAAAGAAAAACACTCTATGCTTAGCCCAAATTTAGAAGACCTCAGCTTAGTCTTCTAGAGCAACTTAACCCACAGTAAGCTGGACACTGAACAAAAGCATTGACAAATAAAACAGGTTCAATTTAAAAATGCATTTTTTCCCCTGAGAGGTTCCATTAATCTTATTCTGCTTCTGCAACAGCTAGAAGAAAAAGCCTGGGCCAAATCTCTTTCCTTAATCTGAGCAACAATTTTATCTAACTGGTGCTCTGATTTCACAAAGTACTAAATGTAACACTATAGATTTACTCCTCAAGTACTAAATCTAATACTGTGGATTGCCTGTGGTCACTGCACCTAAGCATTACGTGTAAAACAGTAAGCAGGAACTGCTGCAGCCTCCTGAAGTCACATCACTGCCAGGAAAGCAAACAGAAGATTGCAACACAGCTGCAAAATGTAAAGATGCATGGATGCTTTGTCACATTTACTTGCACCTTTACAGAATGTTTTTCATATGCTGACTTGCACATACAAATGCATTCCTAACCATGATGCTTTTAAGCGCTCCCCCCATCCTCATGAGCATTAGTTTCACTTCAGCAGAGTAAGTTCACAGCAAGCTCATCTCCATCCAAAAATACAATTTCTTTCAAGCCTGGTATAAAAAGGAAAATACAAATGCAATTTCAAGGGTGGGGAGGGGGGTGAAGAGATAAACACGCACAATGATACTGCATTGTGAAACACAGTCCGCCTCCTGGCCACATGGCCAACAGCAAACATACACAAGGTGGTTTGAAAACACAAGCTGAATACTTGTATATGTGGAAATGGATTAGGTTTAAGAGTGACCTGTGGAATCTAAATTAATCATACAGAGTCCTTACTAGATACTCATTATATAAATTCATATATACACTGGAGAAGAAAGAGAGAAGTGTGCACAATGGATTCATACATTAAACTTAACCATCTTGATTGCAATGTTCACAATAAACAGCATGAATGCCTGTGACAAGCTACAGAGACCTCTAAAAACTGCAGGATGACAGAGGTTGACTACAATTACTGCTACTTGTGGAGTGCCAACAGTATTTTCCTTGCTCTTGTTCCGACTTCTGTATCAGCCCCGAGAAAGCTCACTCACTAAAGAAGTTAACATTTCCATTACACACAATTACAACCAAGCAACAATAGCAGAGACAACAAAGGAAGAGAATCCTCTCTAGGTTCTTCCTTGGGCTTTTTCTCCAGTAAAGAAGGGGAAGACAAAAAACAACCTACAAAACAAAACCACCCAACTTTTTTTCTAGGGAACTCTGCTAAGGAAAAAAATTCTTGTGTCAAGGAAAGAGATTAGGCCTGACAAAGACAACTAAAATTCTTTGCTTCTATGGACAATGAACCTTGGAACTTTAGCAAAGGCTGGGCAAAAATCAAAGAAACCTAAGAAATTGAGAAAATAGACAAAGTGGAGAAATAGCTACTCATCATAAATAAACTAGCACAGCAGGAAACTGGCAGAAAGCCTTTATCTTTCACAACCAAATTCAGTTCTGATATGACAAGAGCAAAAACAGCACAAGCCCATCTGCACCAAGCTGGCCACCAACAGATAAACACTGCTCAGTTTGAAGCATGAGCTCCATTTGCTTATTTTTAATAGTTTTCTGCTCACTGAAGTAAATATCTCATTGCATATTTACTACCTCTAATAAGGAAAGCAACAAAAGCAAAGCTCAGGGAAAAAAAAAAAACCAAACCCTACCACATCCTTATTTTCACCAAGTTGTTAGAGATGCCCTTGTGCATTTCCATCATTTGTCTGCATCTTTGCTAAAATGGCACGACCACAGCATGATGACATTTCACATACATCTTTTAAAAAGCTAAATGGAGACACATATTTAAAGTACAGGTGTGTCAGGTATATACAGTTCACTAAAGAGTGTGGTTCTGTGCTTGTGTGTGTAACCACTGTGATTCAGGTCTACCCACTGAAATACTGTGTGATTACTACAGACCAAAATTATAAGCCTTCAGAAACAGCTCAGTGAGTGAAGCAACAGACAAGAGTTAGTTCTTCCCAGAGTTTTCTAAGGAGTGTACATGACTGGATTACTGTAAGCATTTTTATCACCTATTTCACAGCAGAAGCATAATTTTCCTGCCAGTGCGTGGGCTCACACAGACTAATGTCTTGAAATAGCAGAAAGGTAGCATGACATTTACAGAAAATAAAACAGCGACCTTGCAACTCGCAGCATCAACACCCTCTTTCAACACTGGAGCTCTTAAAAATATTTTGTTAACTATTTCTATTGATAATCAAAACTAACAATACTCTTTTGGAATATCTGAATTGTCAGACACTACCTTACTGTAATAATGTCAGTCCTTTTACTGCCCTGAGCACTTCTTCCTGAACATATAGTAGAACTACTGAAAAAATCCCACTAGTAAAACTACTGAAAAAAGTGCAGGAAGGCTCCCACTAATAGAAGATATTACTGAAGTGAGGGCAAAATGGTGCTTAGCATACTTTACCCAGTGAACTACCTAAGCTTCAGGAGACAAGGTATTCCAGATACTGTATGAAGACTCTCTTGCAGCATGCTAACTCCAGAAAGCCTATACTCCTTTCTTAAACAAAACTATTGCTTCATTTAATTACTTTCACTTGATGAATCTGTCTAAAAGGACCCTGAAAATATTTGGAAAAAAAATATATTCACATTCTTCTCCTGAATGGTTAACCAAGCAAAAAAACCAAACAAAAGCCAAACACCTTAGCCCCTGCATTCTGCAAACAAACATCAGAATTCAGAAGTCAGGGTGGCTACAGCACCAGATCAGAATGCTCTGCTGGCGTCACAGCTTGAACACGGGTTTCCAGACTCCCACATTATATATACCATAGTCTCTAAATAAAGCACACGCTGTTGTAAACAGCTTGAGCTCATTCACTGCCACTTCCTGCTCCGTTCTCTTCCATAAAAGCTAACTTTTGCCAATAATTTAATGGAACACAAAATTGAGAACAAAACCAAACCTAACAACAGTTTTACTGCAGCAACAATAAACTGCAACTTCCCATAAAATCTGTGGGAAAGTAAGTATGATGAGATGATTCCCTGCTTTTCCCTACCACCCACCACTTCTCTCCTTCCTTGCCCTACTCCATTTCTACCCCATCCTCTCACCTTTGAAAAGCACAAAGCTATATATGTAACAAGCACACCCCGCAGACTCACCTTACCTTTAAAGTTGTCTAATTATTCAAAGTATCAGTTCATATAAAGGGAGTTATGTGATTAGTGCCTGTTTTACCCCTTCTGGTACTGAATGAGACACAACGGACATATTAAAACATGAGAATCAAACGCAGGATCTAAATAGTACTATTTGTAGAAGTTAATTCTCAAGGCAGTTGCTGTTCATATCAGAGATCTCAATCTTAAACACAGTCAAGTGGAAAAAAAAATATAAAAAGCTTTGAGTGTATTTAAAGCCTTTTAAAATATCCAAGTTTCAATTCCAGCAACATATTTTTAAGCTTCCTTAATAGTTTGACTCGCTTCAGTTGGTGACATTTTGTAAGCCCTACCGTAAAGGAAGCACAGATATGCAAAAACTTTCATGACAATGGGACACACCTCAACTTTCATCTTTAAAAAGAAAAAATACCCAAATGAATAAAGAGAC